GATGGCCAACCCTTTATCCTTTCCCATTAGTAGTCTCATCACCAAGTTGGAGAAGTCTGTTCTTGTTTAATTATTATGAAACATATGTGGTGGGAGGGACACTTCCTATTGTGTCTTTATGGATATAGCTTTTAGTCTTTGTCTTCCCACACACTTTGTCCCACTTTATCCACTTACTCACTATTATAACACTGACTGATTGATAATAACCAATTTAAAAAAAAAAGCAAAACTCTTCAAATTAATAATATGAATAAATCATAATTTATAATTTCAAATTTTAGTCTTTTTTATTTAATACAATTAAATGTTCAGACTTGAATTCAGAACTTCATCTAAATATCACGGGTGACATTATCATTAGGATAGCTAACTGTTGAAAAAGATTTAGTCTTCAAATGTCATTTCTTCAACATCATTATTGCTACACATTTATGTCATCCATCACAAAACAGCTAATCATATATATATATATATATAGAAAAAAAAGAAAATACCTAAGTCAAGTTTCATGTATTTATTATATTAAATTCTCCAATCACACATCATATATATATATATATATATGAAATTATTTAGTTTCCTAATATTATTTGGTAGTATTTAAAATTAATTAGCATACATTGATTCACGGTCCCTCAAAAGACAGTAGCCAAAAACAGCCAAATCCAAAGTGACAACTAAGCAGAAATGAACTGGAAACACACGTTCCTCAATCCAATTTATATTGACAAATATACCCCATCACATGGTTACAAGTGGATCAAAAAAATAACATGAAAAAGCAACAGAAAAAAAAATTGAAAATGCTCTTTATGTTGTTTTGTTTCAAGAAAAAATTTAATCATTCAAAAGTTAGGGTTAAGGCACTTATATCATAGGCATATTTGGTCCTCGTTATTAAACATTAGAAGAAGTATTTATTACTGTTCTTGAATATTGTTTGCTGCTCTTTTTTCCATTAAACTATAGGTTTAAATACGAGTAAAGTTGATTTTTTTTTTTCATTTTCATATATAGTTAATGAATTAACAGTTCTATTTTTAGTTTCAATAAAAATACTAAAAATCATTTATGAAAAAGATTAGAGAGAATAATTTTTATCAGAATTCTTAGACTCGAGCTCAATTGAGTCCAAATATTTCCGTAAATCTTAAATAAGAGATTGTGAGTTCAACCGTTTGTAAATATAATGGGTGTATTAGTTTCTTTCGAAAAAAAATAATATGTCAATGTTTTAGTATATTTTGTCAACATTTAAAGTTCAGATGTTGGAAATTTTTGTCAATGAAACTAAAAATGTTGCAATTAGAGGAATGAAAATATAGTTTATAGAATAAAAGGATCAAAATAAAATATCCGAAAAAATTAAGAGACCAAATGTACATTTTTATTAAATTAAAATATATGAAAATACAACCATGAGGCCCAATACCGTTGGCACTTAGTTGGTTCCTTAAATATTTAGTTAAGGGTTCAAACTCGGGCGGTATATATGAAGAGGGCTTCTTAGCCAGCACTAAAATCCATTTAGAAATTTTGCGGACAGATCTTCACATATCATGGGCAAGGCATCCCTACTTGGACATCGAACCCACCGTGCCTAAAATTACTTGGCCTTTCACCTAGGAATGCCTAAGTAATATCCTACAAAATGCAACTCATTCATTATTCAAGTTGGGCATAGATAAAGCCACTAATATAGGCTAACATGTCGATTATAGGCTAGCCCATGGCCGGCTCAAGGGCGACAAGCCAGTCCTAAAAAACTGATTTTTGACAGGCTGGTTTTACCAACTAACCTAACTCGCCAACCTTCTATTTTTTTTTAAAAAAATTTTTTTGCATATTTTTTTCTTTTAATAAAATCCATTCTGATTCTTAAATACCTAAAATGAAACATCCAAATAGAAATTATCATAAATGAAACATGGAGAAACCAAAATGCAAACATCCCAAAATATTAAATATACTTGATACATCGTTCTAAATGATTAAACATACATCCCCAGTTAAAATATAACAAATCCAAATCAATAATAACAAAAACATGATGTCATAAATAACTATCAAGTACTTAACCATAAGTCATCATTCAATATTAATAGGGTTCGAAGTATGATTTGAAGATGTAAAATTATTTAGTTGAGCTTAAGAAGTAGAACCACTTTTTTCCTCAGCTAACTCTACACAAAATTATAATACAAAGTGAAAGATATATTTGATTATAGTAATTTTAAATAATGAGAATGAGATCAAACACTAAAGGAATAAATATAGTTATATTTGATGGGAGGAAAAAATTAAAAAAATAAAATAAAATAAAATAGATTGGCTCAAAAGATTCATTTTAAAATGAACCTGATTTTTATTAACCTAACCTCCACTTTTTGGTGAGTTGGCGGACTCAACCTCTATTACTAGTTCTAGCATCAGATAAGCATCTTGCCTCATCTAATCTTACTCATGTGCAACCCCACTACAAACTATCCCTATTAATAAAGTATTTGAGAAAAAAATTAGGGAGAATTGTAATCAAATAAAAAAAAACATAATTATCAAAAAGTTTCAACAACAATATAAACATTTATAATGACAAATAGAAAATGACAACTTCTAACTTGTTATTGGAATTTGTTAGTAATTATTTTTTTTTACTAAGACCTCATTGTAATTTTTCAAAACAAAAAGTTGTGCAATTGTCGTACAAGTGATAAAAAGATTATAAAAATGAGATACAAAATATATAAAAATATCAAAACAAGTCTTTTAATCAATTACCAGCCAATGATTAGATTTTACAAATACGAAAAAAAAAAATGTTATGTCTGACCCGTAAACGTGCTGACGTTGGGTCACGTTTTAGTCAACGACACCCAACACATGTCCTAACAAGCAAAGTAAATAATTGCAAAAGTGAAGTCAAAATGATTGAACTGTCTTAATTGTTATTGTGTACGGTAAATGGGATGGCTCATCTATTATTATTTACTCGTCGTTGTTAATTATTAAATTGATTTTAATTTTAAATATAAGATCTATTTATTATATTTATCAGTTTTTTTTAAATTATCTCTATTGACACTTCCTCAACTGTAATTAAATAAGAAAAAGGTGTAGTTATTAAAAAAGATGATTATGGTGTTTTAAAAAAAAATATGTCATATTTTTTATAATCAAATCAAATTAGTTAAATAGGTCTTATATTAAATATAAGAGGATTACTTGTGTTTAACTTTTTTACAGTTTTTATTATATGAACTTTTATAATCCATGTACATTCTCATTCGGTTTTCAACTTTAAAAAGTGTTAAAAAAATTTAAAAAAATATATGGGACGTCATCCCTATCCAGTCTCCATTATGCCTTGACGAGGCCAAAAGATGGTCCCATCCCAATTATAATTGGCCCATGAATACTAATGAATGTATGCCTAAACAGTTAAGCTAAACAATTGCTATGTTCTGCAAAATATTTACTATTATATCAACTTTTTTAATCATATATAATCATTTTTTATGTGAGTTTATAGTTTAATGACAATATTTGAAAAAAATATCATGTGTAATTTGAAAACTTAGCATAATGAATATAAATATTATCTATATGTTGTATTTATGCCTCCAATCCTTCATATTTGGACTATATTCCTTTTCTTTTTTTCAGTTTTTCTTTCTCAATTGTGCATCTAATCCTTCATATTCGGACCATATTCCCTTTTCTTCCCTGGGTTTATCTTTTCCAAGAACCAGTTTATACTTTATACGGATCACGGAAGATGTGTTGCCCCTAAGTTTAAATTTTAAGAAGTAATTCCCTCTTCCTTTTTCAACCCATGCTTAAGCCCTATATTATATAATTAGTATAAATTATTGGAAATTTTATATTTTAAACAATCCAATTTATTAGAATTTTATATTTCTTCCTATACTTAGTATAAGAATTATTTAACTCATTTGAATAATTTAAGGAATTAAAAAATTAATTAATCATAACAAATGTAATATGATGGTGACAAACAAAATGTAAGATGATCTCTTTAAAGAGCCGCCATACAATTTTAGATTCCATGTACCAGTTTATACATTAGGTAAATTATTTTGAAAAAAATAAATATAAGAAATAAAATGGATCAAAGTCTTATATTTAAAATCAAACTTAATCTCCAACTAACTCTTATATTACAAATCAAAATGAGAATATCATATTGTATAGTAATTTATCCTATAATAAATATAAGACCTTAACTTGTTTTAATTTTTAAATTTATAGTGTTTTTCCTAAACTATCCTCATTATTACACATATTAAAAGAGGATTTATGTCAAAATGGTAGTTACCCGTACGAATGACTGAAATTTTATTTTAAGAAAATCAATACACATTTTCACTAAGTAGTTAATTTCACCAATATTCATATATTAATTATTTAACTTCTAGATCTAGAGTTCGAGGAAATATTATACTACATAAATATAAGATTTCAATTTATGTTGTCTGACAAATTTACAAATTTTTTTTTAAAACATCTCTATTGACAATAAATGGTTCCTACTAAGGATAGTTCTAACGCATATAATAAGATATGATAGTTTAGAAAAGTTAATGCTAGTTTGTTACAATTAATCAATTTAGTTAATTTTTTTAATCCCTCTAAATTAATTATTTAGTTTTATATTAAGTATCTCACTATTATACTTCGGAGAATCCCCAAACAAAAACTTGAAATTAGTAAATTTCAAATCAAGTTTGATAACAACGTTTTAATAGACTTTATAACACTAATGTTACAAATAACAAGATATTTTTGTAGAAATTTTTAGATTCCCTGTTGTCTTTTCTATAAAAGTTGTGGAATGTGATCTCATAAAATATTATCTGAAGCTATATTATGTATATTGAGCAAATTTGGTGTTGTCACTGTTGTCTTATATAAGTATTGGTCCACCCTCTGGTTCGAGTGTAAGTTGTAACAGAACCGTCAAGGCATGAAGAGATGTCGACGTGGCGTTTCCTTAGCCTCACAGCTCTGAATAGGCGAACAGATTCATGGAACAGTGGCTGCGGGATGTCTGTTCCGGCAGTCTCCTCTCTCTCCCCCTCCCTCCCTCTCTCTGTTTCAAGCCTCTCAACACAAACACAGAATCTAACGTCTTTTTGCATCATCTCTCTCTCTTGCCGTTAACCTTTTTCTTCTTTTTCCCTTGGTGCTTAAGATAGAACGACCCAACAGTGTCGCTCAGAGTGAGGTATGTTTCTTTGATAGCCCCTCATCAGAATTTTCAATTTTGCTCAACCCCTTTGGTCAGTCTCTCCTGCATTTCCCTTCACAGATAGGGGAGACGTATTTCTTTCTCTCTTCTGCTTTACTTTGATTCCCACTTCAGTATCACTTTTATATCTCTACTATATAATGCTATCGTTTTATTCTTTATGGTTTGTTCTTTTAATTAATTGGGAGCCATCAACTTTTCTATCCCCAATGGACGAGAAATTCTTACCGTTTTCTTGATTGTTAGCGGCAAGAAACGCTTAGCTAATAAACTATCCTTGCCTGCTTTTTGTCTCTTGCATTTATTTGATAAAATTGCGGTTTGGAGTGTTTTTGATCGCATCACTTCCTCCTTTCTACATATATATAGTGTGCATGAAGTAGAGTTTTGATGATTAGGAGAATAAGTTGAAAATTCAGCTCTATTACCTAATTAAAATTCATACACTTAATTTGGAATTCGTTTAGTCAAGTGTTATTATGCTTTATGCTTCTAGAAGTGGTGAGCTTTTGCCCGACTTGATGTTCAGCCTTTTGATTTTGTTTGCTAGAGAAAACTTTGAAGTATAAACCGGTATTTAGCATTCTTAACTTAAGTTCTTGTTTAGATCCCAGGTATAATTCTTTTTACCCTAGCTTGAGGAAGAGAGGGCACAGAAGATCATCCTTGTAGAAGCACACCGGTGCCGAGATCTGCCTCCTACTTGGGATCTCAAATTGCTTCAAGTGGGAGATGCAGGTTAGATGCAAGCTCATACTGACTATATTGTGTGCACGGAACTATTAGTTCTGAAACTGGGAAGCACTGATACAACTCCGACATAAGTACCCTAGACCGCAATCCCAAGAAATTTGAAGTGTTGGTATGCAACTTGAAGTGTCGGATCATGTTTAATATGAGTGTCTAACATGTGTCAAACACTGACACAACCTTTATGTGTGTCTGCATCATAGCTTTGAAATAGTATGAATAGTGCATAAACTCAACTTCATGTCTTAAGGTCAATGGGGGCTGTGCATGCTCATTGCAGTTTGTGAAAATCTATGAATATTACAAATATGATTAATAGTTTAGGTAGGCCCCTGCGTTTTGCATAAATTCTAAAAATGAGAAAAACTTAAAAAGAAAAAAGGTAAGAGGAAAAGAATTTACATGAGGAAATAAATATATTAAAAGAGACCATGAATTGGATTATTTGTTTTTATTTGTCAGGAGCAAGGTTTGAGAAAAATACTAAGTAGATCGATAATTGTTGCAATGGCTTATTATGTTATTTTCAAAATTGAACATTGTGATGCCAACGATTGCAGCAGCTTAAATGACTACTGAGACTAATGTATTTGCTTTTGAATAATCTGGGTCAAAGGATAAAATCGTACTAGAGATAATTATGTTCATATGTGGATTAAGAAATTGATATATCAATATAAAAACAAATCATGTTCTCTTTAATGAGTTGCTATTTCATTGGAATGAGTGCTCTTTGAATAGTCTTGTGCTCATGCACGAGGAGACTTCTCTAGTTCCCCGGAAAAACAAATTGTAAATGGAAATCACATAAAGGTGCAACTAGAGTGCAAAAGTGCAGTTAGATTTAGCCATAACTCTTACATAATTTTAGTCGAATGTCCTGAAATATAAAGTGAATCTGTTGTTTCACATAATGATCTTTGAAATAATTCTGTTGCCTTGTGTGCATAAGGAAATGGGCATACGAGGTAGCTCATAGAAAATTGGCGATGTTTGTTGTTGGTATTATTTTTTTACATAATGGTAACAGTCAAGTGTATACAAACAATTCATGGCAGGAAACCTTTTGCAACTCTACTGCAACTCATGCTATCTTATGAAATCATAATTCACCACAAGCGTCATATTGTGGTGCTTGTTGCCTCCTCATTAACAGTGTTAAATACCCTGTGGTCAGAATTTTAATTTCAATCCCAACAGAAGACAAATCTTAAATGTAATTATACTTCAGGATCCCCTGGTGGAGTGTTTATAATTATACAAGGATGAGTTCGGAAAATGAGAAGATAGAACAAAAGGAAGATTTGGAGCTTGGCACAAATGATCCTAGCCATTGCATTTGGAATTCAGGTGCAGGTGCAAATGCATCTTCCAGATTAGACATGAAATTTGTTGCCTCTGATGCTCTATCTGAACTAGTTTGGTCTCCAGATAAAGGACTGAGCCTGAAATGTGCTGATTCTAGCTTTGCTGACAAGCATACCTCCCTATTTTGGGATGTTGGACCCAGCCATATGGTACTTGCTCCTCCACAAAGTGCCATTGGTGAGAGCTCTGATGCTGATAAACCTGTTGCTGCCACATGCATAAAGACTTGTATCAATGATATAGATATGAACACCACAACTGGTCATCCCACAAGTGATTCAGGTGTCAAGCCTGAGTACAAAGGTTATGAAGAACGTGATACCGGTAAGGGTAACATCACTTATCCCTCCTTACCTCCTAACCATAGATGAAGAGAGAGTTTGGTTCCAAGTATATCCTTTGCACAAATGAACCAAACTGAATGAGAAAACGAAAAAAACGGAAGTCATCCAAATCGACATAATACTAAATATAAGTATATTAGTATACTTACCAGCTTTTACTACTTTCTGCTTCCTGGAAAACATATTTTTCATTCCTTAGAACTCTTATTTTGCAGGATTTAGTGGTAATATGGAGAGAACAAACTCTGCAGATGGAGTATTAAAACTACCTGATGATCAGAGGGAGAACGTAATGACTGGTTGGGAAAATAAGATTTGCCATGAAGACAACACTGGAACTGCTCAAATATCTCAAGTGAAGGGAAAGAAATCTTCCACAATATCAGGTGTCACACTTGTCTGAAAGAAGATTTTATAATTCTGTTCAGATTACAATAATGAAGCTTCTCAAATATTCTGTGCCTGATGTATATCATAGTTGTGAATATTGGTTTGTAGTGAACATTATCTCAATGTATACATACCTTCCCAGTTTTGAAACCATTTCCTTGTTTAAAAGTTGGAGTTCTATTGAAATTATTGCTTTTCTGAAAGAATTCATAAAAGCAGAAGTTCTTTCTTTTATGCAAATCTGAAATGTCACCCGTATCTTTATTTCTTGCAGGCGAGGTTGACAAAAGGTCATTTGATATAGTATTAGCTCAAGCAGATGAACTAAAATCAAGCACAGATAAGGATCCACTGCCGAGGGATCATGCTAATGGGGGCAGAGGCGTAGGTATCAGCAACCAAGAAATTAAAGGAAATAATAATTTGTGCGCCAAAGATGAGCTGGTGACTGAATATAAGGGTATTGATGCTCCAGGAACCAATTTAACTTCTTCTAGCAGAGGTTCTTTAGAAAAACTGGAATCAACTGCTGAAAATGATTTACGAACTTCCAAATGTGATGCTGCTTGTGGTGCAAGTGGAGCTCTTGTTTCAAATTCTAGAGAAATTGAAAATAAATCTCAGGATGATGAGATGATGCTTCTATGTGATAAGAATCTTCCAACTATGCATTCTCCGAGTAATAGAAGAATTCAAATAATGAGTGACAAAGGCAAGGAAAAGGCCCTTTCTGATGGCGATGTAAGATTATCAAAGGAGGATGAGGAGGATGACAGCCATGAAAGTGTTGAAAGCAGTGCTGGGGTTTTTTCAACAGGCAAGAGGAGATGGAACTTCCAGCATAAATTGATGGTTGAGAGCAAAAGATTCAAAAAGCAAGTCCAAGAATCTTCTGGTCCGAAATGCTTTGTTAGACAAGACAGTTCCTTCATGAGCTGGATATCAAACATGATGAAAGGATTTTCACACACAGTTCAAGATGGGGCAAATCCTTCGCCTCTCACACTTGAACATACCAATCACGGTCACCAAATTCTTAGTCCAAAATTCATCACAGACAATAAGAACCTTGATCCAGAGCCCAAAAGTGTTGGCTTTCAATCTATTTTTCAGGCCATATATTTGCCCATGGGAACAAGAATTGCGAGTGTCAGTCATCAAGCAAGAGACAGTTCTGAAGATCTAAGTAACAAAGCACATGGAATAGATGCAACTCCATTAACGTTTTGTGCAGAGAATGATTGTGTTTACAAACAACATATTCGATCAAACGAGTCTGAGCAATCTGCATGGAGATATGATGTGGGTCCATCCACCCAGCCTAAGGTTGAACCAATAAATGTTGTTTACAGTCATGAAAGCAGTAAAAATGACTCAGTGGAAAATAAAAATTGTTCCAACTTGGTACTTGTTAAGGAGAAAGAACGAATGATGTCAAACTCATCTTCTGGAAGACAAAATACAAATAATACTGAGAATATTGATGCCTCTGTACTTTCTAAGAAAAAAGAAGATAATATGTGCCACAGAAGCGATGCTCTTGGAAGTCTGTGGATAACTCGGTTTTCTCGAAAATCAACAGCCCCCTTGATAATCTCCAATAGCTCAAAGACTCCTGAACACAAGTTCAAGAATGAAGACACTGGAGATATGTATGAAAAGGCTCCAAATGATGCTAAGAATAATGTAGATATTCATAATTCAATTCATTATCTCAACCCAGCTTCACCCTCTCCAAAAGTCACAAATTCAGAGCCAATAGCTTCCGTGTCTGCAAGGAGATTGGATGCCGTCAAATATATCAAACCATTGTACAGAGCCGGTAGTACCAATCATACAAATATGACCTGTTTGTTTTGTGGGACAAGAGGTCACCAACTTCATGATTGCTTGGAGATTGCAGAAAGTGAGCTTGAAGCTCTCCTCAAAAATATCAATTCTTATGGGAAACTGGAAGAACTACCTTCCTTATGCATTAGATGCTTTCAACCCAATCACTGGGCAATATCATGTCCCGCATCAATTCAAATTGGGCAACATGATTTGAAAGTCAATGCTTTGGTCAATGATTGGGGTTCAAATGAAACTAATTTTAATGCAGGCAAAGAAAAGACTGCTAGGCCTCTAACTGGTGAGGAGGACCTTTCCTCACCTGGTGGTGCTATAAATGATAAAACTGATCCTGAAGCAAATCAAAATCTTGATTTGAAGTGGACATCAGATGAAATATTACCCTCAGAGAATATAGAGTCTAATGCACCCATCAAAAAAGTATTTGGTTCAAGTTCAATGGAAGACAAATTGAAGGAAAGTTCTGTGACATCTCCATGCGGCTCCATTGGGAGTCAGATTTCAGATAAAACAAGGAGAATCTTTGATGCAGTGAAAAAGCTTCGTTTGTCTCGCACTGAAATCCTCAAGTAAGTAATGCATAAGTCGTTTTCCTGTTTTATCAAATAAAGTTCTTGTATTTTGCATAAATTATAAAAGTTTATGTTTGTCAAATATACCTAAAGTATGCAAATTATGCCTAAAATACAGTAGTAGTTATTTAAATCATAACTCATGGGACATTAGTGTGAATCAATGTGAAACTTAATCTGATCTAATTGTGCATCCTTTTCTCAGCTTGAAGATTTTCAGAAAGAACCCTCTCCTATATTTTGACTATTGACCATATATATGCTATTCTTCATTGTTTCTTATCTGAAGAGCTTTCCTACCTGCAAGTCCCGCATTAACTAGTTCGAACAGAGCAAAAAGAACTTATCTTCATTGAAAGGACAAAAACTGCAAACATGATCGTGAACTTCTGAGCATAACCACGTCTTGATTTGTTCTCATAATTTTATCAACTTTAATTACTTTGGTTTCTTTGCTGTGCGGTAGGAAACCATCTGATTTTATTTAAATAAAAAGCACAATTTTGAGTCCCCCTGTTTTGAATGCCCAGATGCTTGTTTTGCAGTAGAAAGACTCCTCTCTTAACTTATAATTATTGATTATGAGTTTTTGAGGATCGGAAGTGATCTTGTTTAAATTATGTTTGTAAATGTATCCATGAAGGGGCCATGGCAATTTCTTTTCTTAAATTCAGTGAATTTCCTAGGAAAAAATAAATTATATCCCTGAACTAAGGCCTAATTAATTTTTAGAGAAAATGTGGACTACACATAAAAGAGACTGGGAGTTAAAATATTAATTTTTTCCAAGGAACAGGGAGTGTTGTCACCATCAGGAATTGATGTGCTTAAGTTGTAATTAGACCTAAGTTTAAGGGATAAAATATTTTTTTTTCCATTTATAAAAGCACCTTGAGATGTTTATGCATGTATTCTGTTGATGCCTCTTGATTTTGATTAGAAAGGAGGACCATCATATTGCTTTCGTGTCCGTTACAGAACAATCTGTATTATTATTATTTTACATGTTTCAAAATTAAATGTGTTTGGACTTGGATACTCTAATAGAAGAAGTGAAATGCATGTATAATTTTAAGAGGCTAACCTTGTGCTGGCCTGGACAAACACTGATACTAGAAGTGAAGTGTTCAAGAATAAATATAAATGAGATTCTTCAAGTTTCATCAGTAGACACGCTTGCATGTGTGCATGCTTGCACACAAAGCTGCAAATTTTATGTTTGTGTCAAGTCATCATAATTAGAAAACATCTACCATTTTCATGTTCAAAACAATTTCTTGCTCTTCAACTTTTACTGCATTTGACAAAAAATCCTTTACGACAGATGGATAAATTCTCATATGTCCATATCAAACCTCGATGGCTTTTTTTTGCGCTTGCGGCTTGGGAAGTGGGAAGAAGGGCTAGGGGGGACTGGTTACCATGTCGCTTGTATAAATGGTATAACTAAATTTACATCTTGTCCTTTATTTCTACATGACGTGTGCATTTTTGTTATGTTTATCAAATCATAGAGCATCTTTAAAGTTCTTTGATTCTGATGAGTCATGAATCTTGCTTTTGTTTTTATTTTGTTGTACTATTAAAAGAGGCACGAAGAGAGGGTTCTCAGCAGAATAACAGAAAATCTATCTCTGTGATTGTGGGAGGGATCAAGTGTATGGTTGAAAGTCAGTATATATCCAATCATGATTTTCTTGAGGTAAAAGCATATTTCTTTTTTATCCAATTATCGTACTGTATCTATTGTTATTGAATTTATTGATTTAATGTCCCTGATGCTTCATAACTGGTGAAATTCAAGCTCTGATAAATTCTACTAGAAGACATAATTTTCTGGCTTCTACTTTAGCATATATACATAATAATTAAATAAAAGGCAATAGTATATTTTTGGTCCTACAACTTAATGCAAAATTTCAGTCTGATCCCTTGATTTTATGATATCTTTTCAATCCTCTAACTCTAATATTGTTAGTCTCGAATGATAATCTTTTTATGCCAATGATTGTTAGTGGCAAAAAAAATTAAACTTAGTTAATATGTCAACATCTGAGAATGTTTTTGTCAATATTTAAAATTTCAATGTCAAATTTTTTTTTTTCAATAAAACTAATGGTGTTAAGGTTAAAGGTCCCAAAAATGCTTTATAAAATCAGAGGACCAAAATGAAGTGTTGTATGAAGTTGAAGAATTAAATGTTCACTTTTGCCTAATTAAAACATCATTTTATAGATTCTTTAAGTACCATATCCTATATATAGTTTCTTTTCGTAGTTATTTGAACATATCAAACATCATATTCACTTGAACTTTCTAGCAAAACCATTATTCAAGTCCCATCCATTTACTAATAAATAATAATATGGCTGGATTGGCGTTAGTATTTTTAATTACTTCGGTTCTTTTAGTTAAGATCAGGTTCAGCCACTTGAGCTGTTTTGCAAAGCTCATGAAAAAAGTTTACTGAACAACGTAGCATTACTCATATGAAGGACAATTTGATTTAATGTTGATTAAAGAAAAGAGAGATTTTCAATTAGGACTGCTTAATATTAAGTGTATATAGGTCCCCGTTTGGTACGAAAGATTGAAAATGAAGGATGAGGATTGGGATGAGAATTGAGAAAATATATTAAATAAGTGTTGAGCATGAGAGATTGCTTGTTACATGAGATTAGACAAACCCATATATGTGAGATTGAGGAATATCATAGGGAGATGTGATATTTTCCAATCTTACTTCTATGAGTTTGCCTAATCTCATGTACTAAGCAATTACTCATGTTAAAGACTTTTTTAATGATTTTTTTCAATTACGATCCTAATTCTTATCCCTTATTTTTAATACTTCGTACCTAACGAGACCATAGAATCCTTCTTATTTCATCTAAAATATATGCCTTTGTTAAGACAAACCTTGTAATTTAGGGCTTGATGGAACTCAGTGATATTATTTCTGATAACTAAGGATTAGTCAGTACAATCTCCTTCAGTGATTCAGAAGTATTTAAATTGGCTTTTTAAAAGTGATTTCATGGAGTTTGAGGTAAGTATATAAGATGAGCTTGCGTGAAAATGTTTTTTTTAAGTGCTGGGATCGAAACACCTATGGAAGAGGAAAAGATGGCATAAATGACAGACAAACCCTAGTCACAGCACTGGAAATAGGAAAACAGTAGCAATAAGCAAGGAAAGGAGGACTTCCTTGATGTGTTATAGAGGTCAGAGGCTCTCCCAACTCATCCACTGACTAGTTGCCTGTGTCACCTGGGGCCCACAACCCTAGAAAACTCACTCTGACCACCCTTGTTGGAATTAGCGGGCTATAGGCCATCCCCAGGGCCCAATTCTTGATGCTGAGTGTTATGTTCAGGTCTGGACTCCCTTCTCTTTTATATTTGGCCCACTTTAGTCTTGGGCCCATCAAGAGCGCCCATGATGCCTGATCGCTCGACCTACCAAATCACGTTGAGCCAAGTTAGGCCAGGACCAAAATGAGGTGATTATGTTTGCCTGTTTAGCTCAATCTAGTCTAGTCTAATGATTCTTTTTCAAAATAAAAATTTATTTTGTAGCAATTCATGAAATTTTTTCAAATGTATAATATAATTTATTCTGATTTAAATAAAAAGAAATGTAATTTTTACCAAAAATTTAGAAAGAAATATATGGCCTACACTAGAAACCAGCTTTACTGAGCTGAACCGAGCTCAAGCTTCAAGCTTAAAACGGTAGTGGAGTGAAAAGTTGAGCCAAGCACCAAGTTAGGTCAAAATCCCACATGACTCGGCCATGAAGACCCCTACTATGTAGGCAAGTCCAAGTGATTTATTATTTATTAATGAGTATAAAATTCAATACATGCCTTTCCTTTTACTTGGTGGAATGAATGATTGTGTCCCTTGAACGTTTTTGTTTGGGAAAATGTATGCAACTGCTAAACTTTTCCTACAAGAAGAAAAAGGAACAAAAAAGAACTAGCCTAAGTTGACAAGAGAAAACTTTGGCTGCAGCTTTTAGGCCTTTTATATAATGTTCTCTTGAAAATATATAACATGTGAAGTCAATTACTAGTTAATATAATTCGAAATATAGCTGTCTTCCCCTTTTCTCCTTGGTTCTTGTAAATGATTTTGCCTTTTGAACTTTTTCTTATTCCAACATAGGAGACAATAAACAGTTCTTTTTTAAGAGAACTTGGGTATGATTTTTAACTACCTGCTATCAGATTTCTTTGTAAAACAATAGGGATAGGTTTGTTGGATTATGAGACAGAGACAAAGGGAAGAAGGTCCCCTGAAATACCTTATAAGAAAGTTAAGAGACAAGAAGAAAACAGGAGTGGGTCCCATTTCTGTGGGGCCCCCTTGTATAGAGAGGACTCTGCCCTCTTTTTGTATGACAATTGGGGCATTTAAGTATGTTGGCTTTCTCACCTTAATTGCTCGTTTTTGGAGTAGGTTTTTTCATCCCACTTAAGTACTTATCATAAAAATATCTGATTTTAGATCATGCCTATTCTTTGTTAGCATTATTCTATTGCATTTGTACTTTTAGTTCCCCCCTTTAAATTTCTACTTCTAGTTTTTAATATAAAAGCTAGTTGGGTAATTGGATTTGGTCATAAATATAAGACCTTAATTCACTTTGTCTCCCATATTTTTTTATCAAAAGACCCCTATTGATTGTTAGGAGTTCCCACAAAGATGTAGTTCCAACTTATATGATTGAAGAGGATAGCTTAGAGAGGCCGACGCATATTTGTGACAAATAATCCATTTGACTAATTTTCTTAATATTTCTAAATTAGTTATTTAGTTTTTGTAACAAGCATTTAAAGTACTCCTCCGGTCCTAAATGTAAGACCCTTATAAGGGTCTTACATTTAGGACCGGAAGAGTAGCTTATAAGAAGAATTTGATCCCTAAACTTCTCACACCTTACCACTTGATCTGGTATCAAATGGCCTCTTTTTAATTATTTTTTATTAAGAGCATGCCATTGGTTGTTCATTATGTAGAAGGCAACTCTTTATAATGAACGATTAAAAAAAAAGAGAGAGAGAGAGAAAGATAACTGTCTCTGGATATCCTTTTGGACCTCATCTTCAATATTTCACTTCATCTTCGCAGGAAGAACTCATGGCATGGTGGTACACAACCTCTAAAGCTGGCAACAATGTTCCTTCTGAAGAAGATCTCATAGAAAAAATTAAAATGAAACAAATATTAGGATTCTAGGCGTTTATTCATTCAGGCTATTACTAAGGTAATTAAGAAGCCTGAGATTATTGTTTCCTTTGTGTAGTTACACCTTTTTTTTTTGGTTTGAATAAATACTTCTAATTCAAATCAATGTATACCAAATGAAACTGGGAATTGGGAGTCTTGCTCACTATCATCATATATTTGTGAATATTAAATAAGAATTGCCTTTATCTTCTGACAAGCTATAATTCTCAATATGCACTCCATTTTTTTTTCCTTTTAGTATTACTATTTAATATTTGACAGTATCAAATTAGTTTTGAGCATTGAGTTTTTTTTCTTCAATTTATAAAATCCTAACAACTCACCTTGCTTAAGGGAATACTCTCCACTTTTGTAATGCTTATATTGATTGAAAATTGATTTTTCCTATATGACTAGAAAATAGTTTTCCATGTGCGGTGAAGAGCTTCAAGAATATGTCATACTATTCATGGCTCCATAACGTAAGAGAATAATGTGACTTAATAATAGATTTTTTTTTTTATAATGTAAATAAGTAGGGGGAATGAATAAGGAATACATTTAAACTGTAATAAAATCGAAAACAGTAGTCATGAAAAAAAATTGCAAACTTAAACTCTTAGAAATCATCGTTTGGGGCCATCTAGAATGTAATCCAATATTAGTGTTCAGAAGGGAATTGACTAGATTAATCTGATTCGCCTCAAATTCTAATTCAATTAAAACTTCATCGTAATTGGGTGAGTTGTTCGGATTGGTTTACTTAAGTGTTTGAGCACGTTTTAAGTAAGTCAAGATAATTTTTTTTCACATACTTATCACATATTTTGTAAATTATAATTGAAAAATTATTTATAAATGATCCTCTAACCTCCACAAGGATCACTTGGAAATAAAATATTTGATTTTTTTTGCCAACGAAAATAAAATCTTTGATATACATGTACTTCATCAAGTCTTAGTCTTATATATAGGTCACTTGAAATTTAAAACAACTTCCTACTTTTCCCATATTAAATACCATACATCTTTTCTTTAAAACAAAAAAAAGGTTTCTCACTCTCCTGCATATCACTTAAGAGGGGTAAATGGAAGATTGTAATAAATAACCAATGTAATATTTTATAAAGAGAACTAAATAGTCTTTCCTATGACCAAAGGTAAAATACCCTGTAAGAGAACGTGAAATTATTAATTCTTGATTTTTCAAAAAAAAAAAAAAGAAAAAACTGGACATGTAATCCGGCCGACAAAATAAGTCTACCTATTCCATTCAACTCAATATAATTCAACATGATCAAACAATATCAAATTAATTGGTTGGAAAAAAAAATATCAAATAAATTGAGCCGCTAAACACCATCACCAATAATAGATTGAATTCATATTAATTGGTCAAAAATATATTTGTTTTTTCTTGGGCTAAAAGAGGGTGGTCTAAGTCATATGAATAAACCAGAGATTATTGCATTCAGCAATCAATGTCCTGTAAGGTTCGATTTAATGAAAGGAAATAATCTCTTGTAAAATGTGATGAACGAACATTCAAATTTTTATTAGGAATAGTATCTACATCTATGTTTAGTATTGATAATGTTTCATATAAGACTGTTTTTAATAAATAAAAAAATACATATGCCTAATACGAAAATAAAGAAAGAAAGAAATCAATATCTCTGAGATAGATATTATCAATTTATGTTTGTAAACTGACAATTAATTTGGTTGAGAATATGAAACAAAAGGAAAAAAAGGCAAAAAAAAAAAAGACACTAAAATACTCTAAAAAATACTAAATGATAAATAAGAATAGCTGAATTTTAAAATCCTAATTTAGATTCTACGTACTATTTTAGAATCTTCAAATCTTGTAAAATTATACAACCACCCTTTATTTTTTTAAAAAAATAATGCCATCTCAGCACTTCTGCCCGTCAAAGCTCCGACGCCGGTGACCTTGTCGGCAACCAGCCACCGGAGCTTCAGTAACCACTCTTTCTTATGTATTGACTACTCTTATTAAGTTATTGACTACTATAGTATTGTGATTGACTACTTTTATTTTTAAATTTTTGGTGACTACTCTTATTTAGCTATTGACTACTCTAGTTTCATTATTGACTACTTTTGTTTCAAAAATTCAAAAAATGCATTAAGTGTTGTTAGAGATCTAGTGACAACTTTTTGTTTAGTTATTTGTTACTCTTGTGGAGTTAATAGCTATATAAAAGTAGTCACCGGCACTTTAAGAACAAAAGTAGTTAACAGTTAACTTATAGTAGTCAATAGCTATATGAAAATAATCATTCAGAATAAGGACAGTGCTATCATTTTACAATATTTGAAAATTTCTAAAATAATACCTATGATTTGAATTGAGATTTTGAAATTCACCTACCCTTATTTATTGTTTATATTTTTGATGGTATTTTAGTATCTTTCTCTCAAAGAAAAAAGGACATTATTTTCTTTTTAGGTCAATGCCTGCCGACTATGCTTTCCTATTCGTTGAAACCAACAGCGGATCATCAAAGTCCTTCATGCCAGCTCCTCCCACGCAGAGAATTGCCGACAACAAAATTTAAGATAATTGTTATAAAATTATTTACAAATTATTCCCTTTAATTTTTTTTATAATTATTTTTTTACCACTTTCTTTAAGATTAAGAAAGTTTGTTTTAATATTATCAAGAAAGAAAGAAAGTTGGATTAATTATATTTATTTTCAAAACAAAGACTACATCTAGCCACATTGTCACACACTCCCTTTGGTTCCTATTATTAAACACTTTTTAAACAGAATATACAATTCTTATTACAAGTCATTAAGTAAGATAATTATTTTTTTAACAGTTAATATCACCTTTAATCCATAAAATTTGACTTAATTTTAATTTAGTCCTTAAAATTTAAAATTTGAATATGACTTTATTTTAAGGCTTCTTTATTCATAATTAAAATTCTCGTGCATTCCGTATTTACGTGTTAGAGATTAATAAATTACAGATATAGATTATAGATTATAAATATACACCACAAAACATGTGGAATATGTGATAAATCATCATGGATTAATTGAAAAAGTATCTTCCATCTGCATAATTAAAAAAAATTTTCATTTAAAAAATGCCTATTTTATATAGCAAGTGGCCATAAATTATTTTATTGAAAAGGCTCCGGCGCACCTTATGAAAATATAATATTACCTCCGATCTTAATTATAAGAGCTAGTTGACTAATTTGGTAAATTTAAAAAAAGAAGTTAAGTTAGTTATTTGTCATAAATAGGTGTTGTCTTTTCTAAAATATCTTTATTAATCAAGTGTATTGGCTAGAACTACCATTATTCGAAGGATTATCTTGAAGAAGAAAAAACATAAATATTAGAGAAAAAGTGGATTGAGGTCTTATATTTAAGATCAAAATAAAAGTCAAACAAGGTCTTATATTAAGGATCAGAGGTAGTATATTGTAATTAAAATCAACCAACGAATCATATATATTTATTGTTTTTGTTAGCCAACAACCAATAAATAATCATTATCTTTATTAGATGTGCTTAAAAAATCCAAACGATACCTTCGAAAAATACCAATTTAAAGAAAGGTTAAAAAAATCAGACCAATATCACCCATCCACTCAAAAAACTAATCCTTTTTTGAATTTTTTTATAAATATATTAATTGTTGATTGATTTTTTTTTTAATAGTTTGACTTTGTTCTTGTTCTTGTATGCGATCCAATTAGGCAAGAATAGACCCACATTGAGGAAAATGTGTGACTGTGACCATTGCCGCCACACATCAATTGCCATTTTATTGATGCTTGCCTTTGCAATAGTTTATTTAGAAACGGAATTATGCTCACCCTCTCATATTTTTTGCATTTTACTTCTGTGGTGACTTGTCATAAATCAATCTCTCAGTAGTTCATTTAGAAACAGAAGTGTTGCAATTAATCTATATTGATAAAAGTTCATCTTTTTGGATCGATTGTGAAACGACTTAGGATCTACTATTTGGCGCGATATTTTCTATTTGCTTGTCTCTTTTTTGAGAGCAGTGTTCATACACCACTTTTTTTTATTTATATATTTAAGCTTTTGAATCTGCATTTTTGTCCTGTTTCTTTTCCTTTTTCTTCCATGTAAATATTATGTTCTCTTAATATTATTTTTCTTTTTAATAAAAAAAATGTAAGACTCATTTTATAATACAAATTATACTATAATATAAGTCTTATATTAAAAACTATTGGAGTACTTTCCTGAAATTTCAAATTAATAGTTTTAGTCATACATTGCATCAGAGACTAATAAATTATGGACAGAGATTATTGACCATCTGTGCCAAACAAAAATTATAGATTATAGATGCATTATAAAACACATGAAAGACATGGTAAATCATGAATTATTTGAAAAAGTCTCCTTCTTCCACTGTCATAATTAAAAATTCTGTTTTTTCTTTAATTATAAAGATAAGAGCACAATGAGAATGCCTATTTTATATGGCAAGTGGCCACAAATTATTTTATTGAAAAGCCTCCATCACACCTTATGAAAATATATAATATATTTGTTACTTATGTTACAACAACCAATTATATTTGTTTAGTAAATTCCCATATTTATTGACCTTCTTACACTTTCTAATAATAATCATTATCTTTCTTAGATGGGGCTTTAAAAATCCAAACATTCTTTTAAAAAAAATATACCAATTACAAGAAGAGTTAAATTTCAATTTTGTACCTAATTCAACCTGTGTCAAAACTTACTGGGACCCTGAAGTTAATGGAAGCACAACGTCACCCCTGATCTATTAAAAATGGAGAATTATTCATTAATTTAATTGTCGGGCAACTGAGAAAATTACAAATAATTATTCGATAAGAAAATTAATACCAATTTGGTCCCAAAATTAATAAATAAATGCCAAGAGACTGATATTATTTCTTATTCATATAAAAATCTAAAATATCATTTTAACCGATCATTTTGATCAGCCACAAGGCGAGTGTCATATCACCATTACTCGTAATGAAAAATTCTTACATACACCTAAAGTACCACCCCATTAATGCTCTGACCAATAAAATTATGACAACTGAAATGTTCTTATCTTATATATCAGTCTACATGACACTCATTTGTCTTACTATTATTTTAATATTTTTAGGAATACATGCTTT